TTTATAGAAAAAAATGTATCCATAAAAAATTATAAAATTTATAAAATTATAAAAATTTATAAAAATTATAAAAATTCATAAAAATTATGAAAATTGGACTAAATGTTTTTTCATTTATTAGTGGACTAGGCCTACTGGGGATATCACTTAAAAAAAAACACATCAACAATAGTATCTCTAGGGTGATGAGAGGAAATCTATTGAAAACCAATGTCTACGAACGTTGTACGCGTAGCACATTTAGACTGTATGTAAAACAATGAGATAAAAGAAATAGCGATAGATAGCCGAAGTTAAGTCAAAAATTGACCAAAAAAGAACTAACTTACTAGATACTATTATTATTAAAGTATTAACAAAGAAGTAGTTAATTTAATATTTAAAATGGTCTTTGCAGTTTATTGATATTAATATAATGCACCTTTTTATGTTCTTCAGATATCTTATTACTATCATTATTATTTTGATTATAAAATAATTTGTTTTGTTCTCTTCTTTTGAATTAATCAAATTAAATTCTAAAATATATTTTCATGTTTATTTTCACCAAATTTAAAAATACTGAAATTTTTTTCTCTAATAGTTATTAAAGAAGTTATTATTATAATAACTGTGTTCTAAAATTCATCATTGAAAATCGTATTTGAAATAATAATTAATAAATAAAATAAATGAAAGACATGAAAGACGCGCGCGTAGCACGTGCTAGTAAAAGAAAAAACGCAAATAGTTGTAGGAAAGTACAAACTTGTAGGAAAAACTAACAAAAATGAAGTAAAAAATAGTAGTAAATACAGTTTCTTGGTACACTACATAGGTTATCTATTCATTACTAAAATAGCACAATCCTTTTATCTGAACCGAAATACAACTTTTCTATTGATTATTTCGATCGCCATTTTGGACCTAGTGGCCTATAGATCAATAAACGCTTAGTATTATTGGTATATGAGATTAGTAAGTCGAAAATGGAGGATCTTTGCGCTACTTCGCTATATCTAGAGCTTTAATATGTATAAATTCAAGTATATATCTAAACAAAAAATATTTTCCTACAGTTGAATAATGTATAAGAATATGAGACCTTTAAATTATGATTTTGAAACGTACAAGAGAAATGATTGGAAAAGTAGAAGCTGAGTGTACATAAACCTCGCTAACCTAGCATTCATGCTATATATAGAATATATCAGAGCAAGAAATGTACGTAATGTTTTACTTAATGGTTTACTTAATGTACGTAATATTTTTATTTAATGTAGGTAATGATTTCTTAATGTATGTAATGTTTTATTTGGAATTAAAAATCTGTTTTATCAATCAAGTTTGGCCGTCGCTCCAGGTGCTCCAGCATCTCTTTAACCTGATCTAAGAGAAAATCACAATTGGCATGTTCGGTCCTTCTTTCTTTTTTTTTTTACTCGAACCTTGCACCGAATATAAATTACGAATTGGTTTTATCAATTTATTAGAGAATTAGAGAGTCAATTATATATATAAAATAATTATATATGTAATTATAAAATAATTATACATATAATTATTATATATAAATAATTATACATATATATATATGTGTACATATACATATACATATACATATGTTATATATACATACAATGTATATATAAACGAATATTCTCCTTACACGATGTACACACAAGAAAATCATGTTTATTATCTCTTGGCATTCTTGTTTCACGAGTATAAATAATAACACAATATCGACTTAGAAACTATTTTATTTCTTCTCTTCCTGCTTATAGGAGTTACACCTACGAAACGTTGCGAATAAAAACTCTCCGCGGAAATCCTCGGGAGCGATTCTTTCCTCTTAAATCTTCGCGCTAATTATTTTTACACGAGTTGCACATTGCCGACGATTCGTATTCTTTTTCTTCCTTTTTTTTTTTATTCTACCGCGTCTCACCTTGTTCATCAGTTCTATTTCAAAGATATATCTCGGCTCGGAGATATAATTGTACGAATTAAAAGCGAGCTTACAAAGGTGTGCAGATGATGCTTTGAGAGATTTTTCCACCTTGCCGATCATTCATGTATTATGTCATATGAAAATCACGGATTGTCACAGATTGGCGTATTAATACGTTTAACAACGATTGTGTGTTTCTATGACTTATATTCTGGTATAACATCGAAATAAAGAGGAAAGTGTCTCTTCGCACATTACGATACCGAACATCGTTAGTGAAAGTGTAGGAAAGCAGCATTAGTTATTCGTCTATGATAACAATGAAGGACATGATCGATAAGTGTCGCAATAGCAAATGTAGATATCGATTTTATTCAGCATGGGACACGGAAATTCGATTTGACGGCGATAAAACACGATTATACACAGAGGTGTCAATTAATCCGCCTGTAAACTCAATGCCGCATCTCCCAGCAAACGAGAAACGGATTGGATTGGATAAATCCGTATGAATCAAGTTTTTGAATTCGCATTATCCGCGAAAAATGGAATTGAATTTTGTAGAGACTGTGAATACACTGAATCCGTTTTCTATACGTCTAGATAAATATAATAATGTGAACTCTAGTGGATTCACATGGATTTTCAGAAATGAAATGCTAGTCTTACGATTTCAGAAAGTGATTTATCGTTGGAAAGCATGCACCAAGGTGATCATAGATATACGAATCGTTTCTTCCCGAATGAACTCTAGTACTATACACAGGTATAAAACATTACGGATTCACAGCAACAGGGCGACTCCCGGATATAACCTGCACTATCATGGCCAGGATTATGTCTAGAAATTACCTTGTTGCCGTGGATCCTCAATGTTACACTGTATATCACACCGGGGTTTTTGTTTGGGAGGCAACGACTTATGTATATCACCTTTATGTGTGTTTTTCAACGATATCACTTGCGCCGAGATCAGTGACTAGCAGTTGGTGGGTCTCCCATATTAGACAATTTTTTAACCGCACGTTAAATTCAAACGAATTAGTCGCACGTTTCATTGCGTTAAACATTGGATAAAATATCAAAAGTAAATTACCAATACGTAATTACGGATTCAACCAGATTATGGATAGAAAACAGATTTAAAAAATTCAAAAACTTGATCCGACATCACTTCATTGAATAATTTTCGACATTCAATAATTTCTCATTTGCTGGGCAAATTGTATTGTAATTACACGAGTAGTACACTGTAAATTTGTTGTTAGTTTACACAAACGGAGTCACGCTAGAGCCATTCAGTTATGAATCTAGTTCCTCGCCCTCATCGGAGGTGACAGAATAAACTGAGATCTTTGTGCTTCGGATGATCTTCATTAGTGAGCGCCAGCGAATTCGCAGTGACGCTTCCTCGAAATTTTCCGAAATAATGCACCCGTCTGACAAAAAATAAAATAAAATAAGATAAAAAACGAGAATAGAGCGGACGCGAATACGGACAGATCAAACTCGTTTCCACATGGAACTTTGGCTTGAACGAGACGTACGGGTATGATAGCCCACTTCGATTTATTTTATATTATACTACGGAACAGTCGCACGCATGATCGACCATAACACGTGGATTTCCGGAGACTTGACGCTTCGCGATCGCGTGACTGTGCGTCATTTTCTCGTACACGACATAGTAAGCTAGAAAGATGAAGAAGCTCAAGTCTACGGAGATGAGGTCGACATCGACGACCACCACGGTCACTGCAGCCTCGGTGACCAATATTGCGCCGCCATGTCGGGTGCCGGTTGACCTGGTACCGCGATCGGCACACTTACGCCAGGTGATATTAGACCTGCAAGAGAATCCATAGTATTCTTAATTTAATTTTATATAAAATTTCATGTAAGAATTACATGCAAGTTTAAAAAAAAAATTAACTTCGTAGTTGATTCAGTTTTTAATATAGTACACATATGTGTGTGTGTGTGTGTGTGTGTGTGTTACTGTAGATGTAAAAAAAAAATAATAGTTACAAGCATTTTTCGAGCATACAAATTTCGATTTCTTTTTTTGTATATGTACGATTGTCCTCTTTTCGTATCTATTAGAATATTGTTTCATTACTTCATCCTTTCATTGTCATATTAAATGCCATGCCGGTTATCAATGGATCGGTGCTACTAAACTAAAAAAAAAAAAAAAAAAAAAAAAAAAAACAAAAAAAAAAAAACAAAAAAAAATCTGTAAATATAATTAAAAAACCGAAGTAATTGTCTAAAATAATAAAGTACACGTAATAATTTAGTATAATTGAATTATATTATATATAATACATGTTATTAAAGTGTGATTATCTCTGTAATAAAAATGTCACTTTAACATCGCCGGAGATAAAAGAAAGTATTAAGCATTTAACGTGTCAAGAGATAAATAGATAATAATACGAAAGTAAAAGCATTTTTATCAAAATCTCGATTTTTTCCGTTAAGTATGTAAAGTGTATTAGTTTCTTTTTCATAATTATTTCACTACTTCAATATCTCTAAAAGATACATAAATAATAACACAAAAGTCGAGAGACTAAAAGAAATAGTATAGTAGTAACAAAATGTGCGCAATATGTACAACGCCTTGATAATATGAATTGCACATCGATATTAACATCTACAACCAATTAATTACCGAATAGAAATAACAAGCGCTCAGGCGGCTGATGTATGCGATGCAGGGATAATGTATGGACATGGAGCTAGATCACATTTGTACCGGATGTCCAGGTAAGGAGCCATAAAAGGAAGATCGGAACGATCGAAACCGTTCGATCGGGGATGAGACATTTGGGATGGTGAAGGAATGACAGAAGCGTGTATAATCCATTACCGGCGGGCTCGATAGCGTGTTATCCGTGGTAGCCGTAGTAGTAGTCCATCGGCTAGAGTGCAAGCAGCGAATGCAGTGAGTGCGGTAGACACTCACCGGTCGAGCTGGCGTTTTGATTGTACTGATTGAGGCTCGCCGCGTGATAGGGCTGCGTAGGGCTGCAGGTTGGCCTGGCGCCGTAACCGAGGTGAAGGGGCTCGTAGCTCGGTGGTCTCGCGACTCCGCACGAATAGCCATTATCCCGTTGTTGGAGGCACGCCCCAGGGCTCGGTCCGACGGTCATACCCACGGTCATACCCATCGGGCTCATGCCACCCCCGGTGGATAGCGAGGACATGCTACTCGTCGTGTGCTGATTCTGTTGGCTGGCGCCCGACATCGTGAAACTCGGCATCGACGTCATCGGGCTGTCAAGGGAAAGAATTTCATAATTGTTGCATTCACATGATCCTACAGCCGTTTCTTCCTCTGTCAAAAATAATTTTGTACGAAGCGCAAAAGAGAGCGGAACACGTTTCGCTCGAACCGATATGTCTTGACGATGGGATCATTTTATAGTATCACGTAGTGCGCTATAAAATGTTCATTTTTCTTAAACAGTAACTGTGGCTATAACAAGTGTTACGTTGTATTGTTTATAAATCCTGATTTATAAAAAATTGTTGCTCATTACTTTTGGAATAACTCTCGCACACTTTGTTAATAAGTCTATTCTACATGATTATTTTTTATTTTATTCTATCATATTTACTACAAATAGTTGACATTATTGTTTTTTCCTAGTTCACGCAACGTATTTATTTTTCTTACTTCCTTTGTACTTTATGATAGTTCATGTGTTTTACGTTTCCTTCAATTTTTTAATTATTATTTTTATATTATTTTTATAATTGCAAGTGTGAGAGTTTTCTTTTATTACGTCGAAAAATGGATTATACAGAATTCGAATTACTAAATATATTACGTGTAATTCACTTAAATAAAATAGATTGAATCATAAAAGTAACCATCAGACAGTTGATCGCAGAGCCAAGTACTGGATCAGTATCCATCTCGAACAGTTTAGGGAAAACTTTCAAAAGATGAACATCAAACTTTTGCGTTTCTCACCTGTACGAATCAGGCATGCTGGGTATTCCGGGGTACACAGCGGTGGGCGCAAACCCATGATGTATTCTAGGGGGTGAGGGTGGTGCCTGCGGAGGCGGCTGGCCCCCGAGTATCCCCGAAGGTGGCGGCGGCGTCGGATGGCCAGCACCCACTAGACTCACGCCGGCAGTGTGTTGCTGTTGCTGTTGTTGCTGTTGCTGCTGCTGCTGCGGTGGCGGTGGTGGATTATCCCTCCGTTGCGTGCGCAATTTCTCCTCGCGCCGCCACTTGGCCCGCCGATTCGAAAACCAGACCTGAGTTAGTGAACGAGAAGACAGACGAAGATACAGGTCAATCGCTAGGCTACGGATAACTTTCGTATCGGCTAACAGTCGTGGATAAAATAGTTTGTCGCGAAAACGCGTTACTCCCTGCGAAGATCTTTTAATCATATAATGTGTCGACTCTATGTTAATTAAGAACATCACCGAGCTTCGCGATCTTCGATCTTGGTGGTCGTGATAAAATGACCTGTATATACGCGTGGGGCGATATAGGAATGAAATGTCGACGCTGGTTTCAATAAAGAATGATAAGAAATCGACATTAGTTAGAAATAAATAAATTAAAATAATAAAATTACAGTTACGAAAAATAACTTTAACGTTTTTCTTCAGAAGCTGTCAACCATTATTCTGACATAGCTATAATTACAAGTTGTAATTAGCAGTTTTAAGAATTAAAAATGCATAGTGGATTTTTATACCAAATTAAAACAAATAACGAAATACCTATAATTGCTGGTGAAATATCTAAAAACTATGTCTTTAAAGACGACGATTAATTTGACGTTTAGAATAATTGAAACCTTCGCATAAATAGGCTAAAATCTTTTAATCATAAAATTACTTAGCTATAATATATTCAATAAATGGTCTTTAACTTGAAAATCATTGAACGGGTACGATCTTTGTTTTTTTTATAATCTTGAATATTTTATAATAATTATTATTTTTCTTGTAAATTATTAGACTGTTCTCGTCATTTATTCGATAATTTCGATCTTACACTCAGAGAAAATAAGATATAATTTTGGCAGTAATAATATAATACCTCTGTAATGTAACCCACCAGCAATATGCTATCCTTTTAAGGCACATTCGATTTTTTATTGTGAATTTTAAGAAAGTAGATCGCGTAAGATTTTATGCGAATAAAAAATTTGATTTTTTTGTGTTCCACATCTTTTTGATGCTAATTTTAATGAGCATATAAAGATTCGCAAACAAAATAAGTAAAATACAATCCGGCTTCTATTAAGGTAAAAATTTGTTGCCATTAGTTCACAAATATACAAAAATGTTTTCAGATGTTTATATAGTCTGGAACAATACAAAATCTGCTGTGAATCTCAACGTCTTATTTTGGAATCTAGATAGAAAATTTTACATTGCTGATGAAGAGTCAAGGGGATGCTGGACTGAAGCGAATTACCGACATTTACATTTTGCTTGGCTATTTCCAAATTGCCTTTACAGAATCGTAAAAATCTTATATATACAATAAAAGTAGACATATTAAGAAATAGTGGGAACTGACGATTTTACGCTAAGAATAAATGTAAAAAATTTAATATTATTTATATTTGCTCCTAATACGTACAGATGTCAACTCACAACAAAATGTTTGATTAATAAAAAATTCTTTAATTGTAAGTCATATGTGTGAAACGAAACACTGCCACTATGCGAAATACGTGAAAGAAGAATACTATTAATAAAATGAAGATTAAAAAAAGAATTTAGATTAAAATGCTTTCATGCACATATGCACGTGAAATATAAGTGCAGAGCAGTAATTGTGTCTAGTAGTAGGTGCTCGATCTTGCAAGAAATGGCGCTAGAATATGTTAAATTTAAATCAGAATAGGTGTACGCATTTGAGTGAGATAGAACGATAAAGCAAGAAAATGAGTTAAAAATTTTGCTATTATCGACATTAATCAAATTTTGCTCCAGCATCCCCGCAATTAGGCTTATAAAAGTATGAACGAGAGTAAAGTACTAAAAATAGTTAAAATATAAACATGGCAGCAAATGTTGGAACACCAACGTTGGATATTAACATTAAATATCATTTCATTAATTGTTATACGTAACTATATTAAATAATATAGAAATAGCAAAATTATATAATATATAATTATGATGTAGACTTCATGCAGTAGATTAACATAAATGTATTCTTTCGGTTTAAACTTTAAACAAATAATTTCCTTTTACTTTTAAGTCATTATGCTGTAATGACATCCTATACATGCAACAATAATATTTTTTATTAATCAAACTATTTTACGTTACCACTTTTTTCGTACTCTAGTCTCATCGTACGTACTTGCTACAAACGATTAATGTTACTATACTTCTTCATTAATGACATCCTACGACAGACTTTTGTATTAATATTATTTCGTAGATATATTTATAGATTATTATATGACTATTTTCTCATACTCTCCATTCTCATTGTATTTATTACAAACATTACTATTGTATATTTTCTTATTATAATGATGATATACTTTTTTTTTATATCAATAAGATTTTTTTCTCAACTAAATTACTTTTCATTCTTCTCAAATTATTATTTTTATCACAAATTATTTATACTTATCACAAATAATTATTATTTTCTCACTTTATCTAAATTTTTTTATGTTTCTTATTACAATTTCATAACGTAAAATACTATTTCCTTTGAATTTTAGTTACTGATACTACTTTTTCTTTAAATACACATCTGTTTCTAAGTCTCGTTTCCACAATATATGATTACCTACAGATTAAAGGTACCAAGGCATTCATGAATGAATTTCATTGATGAATCTCTCGGTAACCATCGATCTTTGGGTAACCACATATTGTGAAAACGGGCCTAAGCATTCTTGTAGTCAAGGTGGAACGCTGCGCTGAATAGTCACCTGTATTCGTGCCTCCGGTAGGCCAATCTTGCCGGCGAGTCTTTCCCTGGCGAATACGTCCGGGTAATGCGTCCTTTCGAACTCCTTCTCGAGCGCGTCGATCTGCTCGTTGCTGAAGCTCGTGCGATTCCTCTGCAGTTTCCTCTTTAGGCGAAGACGCGCCTGATCGTCATCGGCGCCGCCTGACACGCTGCCAGCGTTGCTGTTGTCACCACCGCTATTCGTCTCGTCCGAGTGCGCGCCACCCTCGAGCTCGGTTACTGTAATAATAAAACGCATCGTGCACTATTATCAACGCCTTTCGCGCGAACGGCTATTACGGGCAATCTCGAGTCTTCTTTTATCGTGTTATATAGTTACGACAATTTTCGTGCTAAGGGCCTCTTTCACGGATTAACATTCGAGAATTAGAGAGATTTATTGTTCACAGTTAAACGCTAAAAGCAAACCTTATATATCTTTAGAACTTCGAAGTTTGTCTATTACGATTTAATGTTGAATATCAAATGTTATATCAATCGCCAACACCCGAAGATTCGTCCAAAGAAAAAAAATCCATCTCGAAAGGATTCAAAGCAACTTTTCGCAATCGTCGAAAAATTTTCTTTCGAATTAACTAATCGAAAGTCGATTAATAAAAAAGTCACAAGTTAGTAGACAGTGCTTACATAATTTTTGTCGAAATACCGATAAGCGTTATCGTCTCCAAATCTGTTCGCGATATTGCTCGGCAAGCTAATGCCTTCCAGAAATCCTTCCCGACAAGGGGAGGGACGATGTATTATCGATATCAGCGTGCGTGATAACGCGTCGCACGATTTGTGGTTTCGTGGCGCTTACCCTCCTCCCCATCCTCCCCATCCTCCCCCTCCCCCCTCCCCCCGAGTTTCTTATATCAATTCCTACGCGCGAAATGCGCTCGCGCGTGTATCTGCGTGTGTACGTGTGTTTGCGTGTACGTATCGGTGTGCGTATGTGAACGAGCAGCGGGCGATATAGGCAGGCGTCGCCGAGTGAACCTTATCGTCGGTTTCTGGGTGAGCGCGTCGAGGCGTCACTGGGCTCGCTACGACGACGAGATGAGGGGGGGAAGGACGGTGAGGAGACACACGGGGTAGAACGAAGAGAGGATGACGAGGGTTGGAGGAAGCTACAGGCAAGGGGGTGCCCGATAAGACGACGGGCGTCCCGACGCCAGTTGCCGGCCACCCCCACGAGATACGCCACTGTCATTCCACGGCTACCTCCTCTCCGCCTGGAGAAACTCGAGTCAGAGTCTGGCCCGATGTGACACGTGACACACTGATGCTGTTATTGGCTGTTATATTCTACGTATAATCAATTCTGTTCTATATATATATAATATATATATATATATATACAGTTGGTGATAAGGAAAAATAAAATGGTTCGTTTTTCTCGTTTTAATTGACTTTGAGCGTGTCCAATTTATATTTAAACTATATTTTATTTATATATTCGACATATATGTTATATATGGAATGATAAAGAATTTGCTTTTTGTTCATTGACTTATTATCACGCTGTTTGTGGACACACAGTTGTATGCCATTTTTTAGAATTTAATTTAAATCTTTGTTAAAAATAATCTCGTTAGGTTAAAAATCATCACGTGAAAAATCAATTAAGAGAAATAATTATATTTTTTTTACCAAAGTAGATCTTGGTGCTTAAAAATATTAGTATGCAAATGTTTTGCAAATACTTTTTCAAATATTTCATTTTATAAATTGTGCGCCGATTCGGTTTGTAGGATTTAAAACGCAATCGCAAACTGAAGCTGATGATAAATATTAAACTCAAATTAGCTTGATCGTAAATTTAATAATGCTAATATAACCACTTTAAGAGCCTGCAAATAACTTATTGCAAAAAATATCACCTCACTCTACGGGTGAAAATATTTTTCGATAAAAAAGAATAGCTTGACCAGATTCTGATTTGCATATCTCTTTCTATTTCTCTATAAAAATATTTTCTAGTTGTCGCAATATATTCGTGATATACAAATAGTAAATTGCAAAAAAAGCTTCGGTGAAAATGTCGGTGAAATTCAATAATAGTTTATAGTATCAAAAGCTGGTTCCTCGATACGTTTCTCTGAATTACTCTCGATATGCATAATAAATAACGTCAAGAAGTTGCAAATAGCTGTTATCGTTAAGATAACCTTGTCGACATGGGATAGTATATCACGTTTTCCATGTATAACGTCAAATTAGAAGCGCTCACGAAACTCGAAGGTAACGAAAACGTCCGTAATAATCGTCGTATAAGCGGCAAAACCCGGGGATACAACCCTGCCCCTCTCGAGCCACCCTTTCCTCGTCCATGTGACTCGCTCGAGGAAGTAGCTGGCAGACGGCCACGCTAGTAGCGGCAAAGTTCTCGCGGCTCGGTAGGGTTGGTGGTTGCTTCGAACTTCCACCCCCCGATGTACCGAGGAGAATCGAGTGCGACGTTAGCGTACAAGTTCCTAGTCCTCATTCCCCCTTTCCCCGTTACTCCCGAAATCTCCCTCGTCTTCATCCCCCAGCCCTGAGTTTGCTCCTTCGTAGCACCGTGCACTGCAAACGATATCCTTAGGGGGCGGCCCTCCGTCAGTATCTGTACGGTACGGGGTTAACGCTACGAGGGTGTCTTAAGCGATAATTAAAACCGCCTTAACCCTCTCTCCCTTCCCCATCCCATTCCCCTCCCCCGCCCCCCTCTTTCCATCCCTGCGAAATTCGAAGAGCAACTTCGGGCCTTCGCGGTTGCTGGATCTTGCGTCTTTACTATCACGGGGCCAAGTCGCGCTCCTCTCACGTTGCTCATCGCTTTCTATGCGGTATACACGCGAGTTTAATGCCGACGCGGAGCTCGAGCGTTTAAGGGAGAAAATCTATCGTAAGAGCGTATAGAGGAGTAAACCAGCATCAACAGCACGAACCGTCAACCAAAAATATCTATAATACATCATTTTTTATGATATATCCATCAAATCGTTTAAAGATTCTAATATGAGAATGGAATAAAATTTATTCTCTTCAGCATTTATAGATCAGAGAGCATACAAAGTTAAGAAGAGAACTTTATTTACAAATATTGTTCCTACCTCATTCTCTCTCTCTCTCTCTCTCTCTCTCTCTCTCTCATCCTCTTTCACATGCTCTCCTATTTTAAATTGTTTAAATTGTCCTATTCTTCTTTTTCTATCTTTATTATTGCATTTCTATCTTATATGCTTTTGAATACATCTGCGCATTAACATCTGCATTTGATTCTTATTAGCCTATAAGTTGTTCTTTTCATTGTTATATATATATATATATATGTACATAAAATTCCCGATAATGTAATATATACACTGCAATTGAATCGTTAATAAATTTCCTTGAAATAACGTCAAGTTATTCAGAATGGTTTTTTAATCATGAATTTTAATAACGTCTCGAATAAACGGTAATTTAAAAACTTAGTATGATTTAAATAGAGATTATTATACTAATCGAATAATACTCTATTTACATAATATCAATCAAAAGGTATTTATTTATACTTCATATACGTATCGACTCTCCCGCCTGAAATAAATCGATTAAATCATATGAATTTATAAGGAATATATTGACGTGTGTAAATTATTTTCAGGGAATAATTCAATCGGCGATTTCCCTTTCAATCCCTTCATGCATTCATATATAAATTATTGTCCCGAGTTCTTTAGCTGCGGCAACACATCATCTTTGTACCTTTTAATGAACAGAATCTCTAAATCTTAGAGATTCTAAAAGTGTCATAGCTTCAAATATGTTTACGCGACCTGCTGCGATAAATGAACGGAAACAATAAAAGAGAGAGAGAGAGAGAGAGAGAGAGAGAGAGAGAGAGAGAGAGAGAAACGTGGAAGAGAGAAAGAGAAAGAAGAAAAAGAGAGGAGAACCCTCCTAAAGCTCATCTCCTTACTAAAGAACGTTCGGAAGGCAGGAGCTAAACGCGGGACTATTTTATCCGTGGAGGGGAATCCATGCCACCCAGGCAGCTTCTCGTCTCCTCCTCCTTTCCTCACTCTGTGTCCCCCCTTTCCCGTTTCTGGCCCCAACCAGATCATTCGTATCTTCCTTCAACGAATTATCCACCAACCGGGACTGCCGTGCGTTCAAGCGTGATGGCGGAACTATTCGAGGTTTAATCTACCAACGTTGTCGCCAATGAATTCGATATTTCTTTCGCGCGAGATTGTTAATAAAGTTTTCACAGTCGACGCGCCTTGTATATTTGTCCATGCAGCTTGCTATGAGCAAAAATATATACGTACAAAGTAGCTTTGATAATAAATGAATCAAAGTTATAGTGTGTTGTAAAAAGGCGACATTTTCACGAATAAAAAGATGCAGCTCTCTAATTTCGTATCCATTACCTTTCTCTCTCTATTATAATTAAATATTTCTATACTTACACAATCAGAATATAAAATACGTGAGTAATACCTAAAAATGTATTTGAAAATATTATAATTATTTTTTAAGCGAAATCAAAGAGTTTAAATAAATTATTTATTTCGTCTGGAAGAAAAAGAGAAAGAGACCCTATTTTATACTTGTTGCTTTATCTTATTGTTTTTTTTTTCTCGAATCAAAGGATAGCAGATGTTTTACATTGTTCGAAACATTCGCCAGTTTTACAAACCGGGACTGATTTGCAATCGCTAGAATGCACCGCGTCGTCGAGCAGAGTTCGAGGAGTCGCGCGTGCACGACTCGCAGAGTCGAGTGGCGATCGACGGGCAAGAGAAGGGACGTTTATTACCGTCGATAATGGGGTGGTGTGCACTTAGCTAAACGCTTTATAAACTACGCGGGTATTGTTGCATGAACGTACGCAGTCGCGACAATGCTGCGCACTATTGCGATCTCGTGGCATTGTAGCGGGCGTATCGGTAGTTTACTTTCAATCGTCGCTTGCCGAAGGGGGAAGGATCAAATCGTCAAACGCAGCCAGTAAGAATAACAAGAGCGAAAAAACAAAGGATGAAAAGAAAAGAGAGAGAGAGAGAGAGAGAGAGAGAGAGAGAGAGAGAGAAAAGGGAGGGGGGGGGGAGAAACAATTTCGGAACAAACCGAGAGGAAGAAGGATGTCGAGAGAGAAAGTGATTCTCTCGTTTTCCTCTCTCCTTCTCTCGAAAGTTTCTGTTACCCACGTGTCCTCCTAACTTCACGAGAGTCACTCGAACGAAAGAAGTAAAAAATAAAAAAGA